GAAGCAAATTGAAGTAAACAAAGGAATGTTTTTAAACGGTAACCCAAAACTTTTCAAAAGAAGGCACAAATAAAATCTATTGGCTCTACAACCATGGAATTTAATTGAACGTTACATAAAAAACGTTTGATTATGTATTTCATTCTTTGAAAATATAGCCACTCAATATTTCAGTGTACTTGTATCAACGCATTGCCAACTAATTGTTAGGGCTTAATACAAAATTTATGACTTGCAAGAAATATTTAAAACAATTTGTACAGATGAAAGTAAATAAATGAAATGTTAAAGTGCTTGGCGCTAAATATTTTAGTACGATTAAATCCAAGTCTGATTATTAAATACAAATATTTGCATGAAATGGATATTGTGTTTGTTTGTTTTTTTTTTTATTTTGCGGAACATGTAAGCTTTCCACTTGAGTGAAAATGTGTCAGATTCTGCTCGTGTTAGTTATTTATTTTGTTGATCGCCTTAGCCACTATAGCTTGTCTTGGTAAATCGGTAGTTCCCGCACACCCAGTGATTTCAGACCAAAAACCCGAATCTCACGTACTTCCCCTGTAGTTTGTTCCCTGTCCAGGTCTGTCTTGTTTACAAATTTTTTTCGGTTTTCCCTGACTTTTTTTTTTGCTGCTCTCATAGTTTTCTTTCTTTTTTTTTTTTTGTTGCTGTCTGTTGGTTTATTTTGCTGTCTTGGCAGAAAACCGTGTAGTCCGATGCAGTGATTCTGCTGCTGTTATAAAATATGAGCTGGAATTAGGCTACCATAGACACACCCATACATTGGCAACGGTACGCACACACACACAGACACACAAACACAGGGACAGACAGGACATATTTGTGCAAAGTTTTCATATATTTTCGTGCCTGGAGTTTGGCCCGCTCGAAGCGGCAGCTGATAAAAAAGCATGTAAAGTGGTGGGAGAACAGGGGAGCTGAAGGGGAAAAGGGGAAGGCAGGGGGGAGGGGGATCTGGTGGCTAGAGGGGCTGTTGGGACAGGACATATGTCCTGCAGGGATTCGGCTTGCTCCTGGGCTCACCAAAAGGTGTGAGCGAGTGTGTGTTTTGTCAAATGTGCACTCATTTCTGCTGAAAAATTGAAGTACATGCATGACTGCTCCAACCTGTCACAGGCCACCACCCACTTTGCCGTCCTGAAGAGTCCTTGCTAACACTGAGAGAAAGCTGCAGCTACAATTGCTGTAAATCAAATTTTATTCAAAACTGAAAGTCCCAGCTTGAACAAAAAACTAAAAAATAGTTTTCGTTCGTTTGCATAATACAATATATACAGATTATATAATGATTCCTAATTTCAAGTTTTTGTTGGACTGATTTTTAAGCCATTTAAAAAATTATTTTTATTGAAAAGATTCGCTCATTTCTATTATAAATATATTTTATTTAATATTTCTTTATAATTAACCCTTTTTTTCTGGTTTAAAAATAGGTTACATAAAAAGGTTAACATTTTTTTCTGATATTTTTCTGGACAGTTTTGAGCCCCCCAAAATATGTTGTATTAGCATGAGACAACAACAATAATATTTTGTTATCTTTTAGTTATACTAGTTTTTTGTGCAGACCGAGCTTAAGCCTTTTAGCTTGTCCTTTCTTTTTGGTTTCGTTGTTACTGTGTTTCTCCTTTTTTTTAGATTTCATAAGATTTCCGGTCACTTCACTAATGAGTTTTACAATGCCTCGTAGCACACACACTCGAGCTCTGGAAATTGTTGATACAATGTCCTTGCACAAACAGTCCTTAAATCCAATCCTTCCCTGCACAAACAACCGTGTATGTGTGTAAGTGTGTGTGTGAGTGTGTGTGCTTAATTTAATTTCCCATTCTTCATCTCGTTTGGGGGGTGTGAGAAGAGCGATGGGCATTTCCATTGAGCCGTGTCTCTGTTTGTCTTTTGTTGGTCGAGGTCATCTTTTACGGAGGAAGCTGCCTTCGCTCAAGGAAAAACTTTACAACAGTTAAGTGCTTAATTTATGTTGCTCGACTAATTTATTGAGATGGCTGTGGCTGGTCAGAGATAAGTGAAAAACTCCCTCTCGAAAAACCTGACAAAAGACTAAGGTGAAGCTACCACTTTTGCCAGCAAGAGCTCCTTGAAAAGTGCTCGAAAATAGTCCGTATATACTTTATATTCAATTTGCCACAAAATTCAATAAGATGTTCAAGTAATTGAGAAAACACAAATTTAAAAAAAAAAGGACTTGGCTAATGGAAAAATAAAATAGATGCATATTCATAAAACTTTCTAGACTATCGTTTATTTAAGAACCAAAGATTATACACGCTTGTGGAAACTGTTTATCTTAAGTTGATTGGCTAAACAAATTCATTAAATAAAAAAACAGCCTTGCATCCAAAACAAAGTAAAGGGTCTAGAACAATTTTTAAAGTCTTTAAAGTGAGGCTCAAATTCTCGTCTCAAAAGTTTCTGGGCTATCGCTTAAATCACAGCCAACTTTTTAGCCGCAAAGTGATTCATTCATAATCTCTGAGAAACTCAACTATTTTGTGCATATCTCCTTCATCTAAACCGACTGGCCAAAGTTCATTCATAATCCGAGATTGTTTCGCCAACTATTCACATATATATGTATATATATATATATATACGAGTTTATCTATATAAGTGTACATAAACACTTCTGCACACTCTCAGGCGAAGAAGGCGGATTTATCATAAACTTTGCTGCTTTTTAATATTCACATCACACGCTGCGTATGAGTAATTTTACTCGGCAAATGGCCAAGTCGTGTTTGTTGGCGAGGGTGTAGCTTTACGAGAGCTAAGTGAATGAAACAAAGTGAATTAAACTCAATCCAATTGAACCATAACGAATGAAAGTTTCGGGCTTAGGCGAGCTTTAAAACACTCCACACTTTGAATATGAATTTAAACTCAATTCGCATCATTTCACAACACCGCCAGTGTGACCAGCTCGAACTGAAAATAAGTCGAAAAAGACACCTCCGAAAGCCCAACAGATGTCGGAATATAAATGTGGGCATAAATATTCCAATGCGACAACAATTGATTCTGTTTGCTTATGCCGTTTGGCAATATTCTACACTTTAAATAAATAATTATTTACGATCGCAGAGCCAAGGGTCAAAGGGCGGCAGTTGGTGGGGGGATTGAAGGCTGTCGCCGGATGCGGGCCAATGTGGCCAGATTTGTGTCATCGTCGCTTTATTTGCCATTGTGCACCGTTATACGAGTGTGCTAAAGAACATATGACACCATAAAACATACCCTGTAAAAAGGATAAAAAGATGTAAGCTGGCTGCCCAGATTATTACTCTATTTGTAAACTTTAAGTTTTAATAATATTATTTTTCAAATTGGTTAAGACCGTAAGTTTAAATATGCAAAGTGAATGTACGTAAAAACGAAATATATTGTATATGTTTTAGATTATACAAAATATATTTTAAAAAAATTTTTACCTACATATTTGTTTAAACAGTTTATTTTTCATAAAGTATTAAGTCATAAATTCTCTTTAGCATTCTATTTTAACTACAAATAAAAGGCTGCAACTTTTTTGCTTAGTAAATTTACAGATTGGTATTAAGTGATTATTTTGATTGATCAATACATAGAAACCCGTTTATTCTTGAAATGTTTATTACTTTAATTTATCGCCCTGTTTACATTGGATTCAAGTTCGGTTGTGCCTATTATACTCCTTCCAGCAGCGGGTAATTGGTATTAAAATCGCTCATAAATCTTAACTGCAACAACCATATTTAATTACAAAACTTTTGCCAACTGTCCAGCGCTTTTTGCCCGCCCTCCGAACTGTCCAGGACATGCGGGACATTCAGGACTCACGGGGGATATGGCGGTCCTTTTTGTTTTTACAGCCGCGCTGCCGGAAAGGTTGCCGCTTTCGATGGGGGAAAGGGATTGTTTCATGGCGAAATTATTACGCACACCCACACACATACACACACACACACACAATCGCTGCCTCAGGCTCTTTGCCATTTTTATCGGCTGCCAAATGGCCGACACTTGTCCGCTCGTCGGCTCGTCCGCTCTTGGCCACTTGGTAACTTGGCCACTTGGCCACTTGGCCGCTTGGCCTAACACTTCCGGTCCGGGGCCATAAACCGAAATCTCTTGTTTGCACTGGCCCGGAGTCAAGGCGCAATGGCCAAAAAAAGGAGGCTGGGCCGGCGAAATCAGTTAACAGGCAATTTCAACTATTTTACAGACTGCGTACGGCTTGGCCAAATGACCCGGGCCAAATGTCAATACCATCAGTGTGTGCGTTCGAATGGAGTTCACTGGGGAAAACACCTTTGGCAATCAAGATTTTTGCCGCCCGTCAGCTCAATAGTTTTTTGTTCTTATTCAAAAAAGTATTATTGATCTGGTGAGGTACTTCTTATTTGGAGGTTTATTAAGTTATTAACTTGTAATTATTGAACTATTAATTTGCATTTTTGAGATTGCTCAACATAAGTACCATAATTTAGCTTGGTTCTTACTGACTTAACCAACAATATCAACTGAAGTACCCCTCTTCTTAGAAAAGAGTATTAATACTGAAGATTATGAACCACTTTAAAATATATAAATATTTTAGAATCTAAATCAAAGAGCTTTAAAGGAAATAAAGAACAAAACATTGTATTAATCTATTTTCTATAGAGTTCATGAAAAAGAACTTGTTAAATTGCTTTTTACCCCATTACAAAAGCAGCAGCAGCAAGAATGCAAAACAAATGCAATTTGGTGGAGAACACATGGCACTCGAGAGGTGGAAAACAGGTTGTTTACATGGCCAGAACGCGGAACCCTTAACCCACACGATAGTTATATCGGGCAATTAGCGGAGTGCCGCGTTCCTCGGGGATCATGGGCCGTGTAGCACTCGAGCGATCTCGAGTGGTTGCCTTGTTCCCAACGAAGATAAAGTTGGTACTGGGGAGCGATATAAAAAGAGCCCCGATCGGAGCTGAGAACATTCGTTATCCAGCAGAGAAGTTGAAACTGCAGTAGCCGAAGCAAAATCGAAGCAAACGCATCATGAGAGTTTGTGGGTAGCTCCGCGCCAAATCCTTCGATCGTGAAACTAAAGGAGTGTTTTTTTTTCTGTGTCTTCCTTTTTTTTGTTGTTGTTGATTTCGTTTTGTAGACCACTTGCTGCTTATTGGATTCGTGTTGGCGGTGATCGCCGGCGGTCGAGGTGCTTTGGCCCATCCCAGGCAGGAGGTTACTACTTGCACCACCACCACGTGCACTACCACCACCTGCACCACCACCACTTGCACCACCACCACTTGCACTCCGACTCCTTGCACCACCACCACTTGTGCCCCTCCTCCACCGCCGCCTTGCACCACCACCACTTGTGCCCCGCCTCCACCGCCGCCTTGCACCACCACCACTTGTGCTCCTCCTCCGCCTCCGTGCACTACCACCACTTGTGCTCCTCCTCCGCCTCCGTGCACACCACCACCGTGCACACCACCACCGTGCACTAGGACTCCACCGCCGTGCACCAGGACACCCCCACCGTGCACCAGGACTCCACCACCGTGCACTAGGACTCCACCACCGTGCACCAGGACTCCACCACCGTGCACCAGGACTCCACCACCGTGCACCAGGACTCCTCCTCCGTGCACCAGGACACCACCTTGCACCCCACCTTGCACCCCACCCTGCACCACCACCTGCACCCCTCCCTGTACCCCACCCTGCACCCCCCCTGCACCACCACCTGCACCCCACCCTGCACCACTGCATCAGCTAATGTCGTGAACCCCGATGATCCAATTATTCCCGACTTGGATGACGGAATTGTGGCCATCAACAAGATCGCCGAGACGCTGATCTCGCGCCACGACTGCCGTGGCCAGGAGGACGGAACCTTCTTTGCCGACGTGCGCCACTGTCGCCGCTACTACGTGTGCAGCCGGCAGCGATCCAGGCGCCAGAGCTGCCCCAGCGGCTTCTGGTTCGATCGCGAGGCGAAGGCCTGCCGACTGGCCAGCCTCGTCGACAATTGTGACGCCAGGCGCAACTAAGGCGGCCAGTGTGCCCATGCAACGCTAATTGGTCTTACAGAATTTTTTTTCCCACTTTTTCAAAGAATATGTCAAGAAGGCAAGTGTGAATTAATTGTTACCATTCCAAGGCAATAAATAAATGTTTCACTGATTATACAAGAAAATCCGACTAGTGTGACCAAACATTATATCTCTCATAACCAACACAACTAAAGTTTATTAATCTAATTGGTTTGCAGAATTGGTTTCTCACTTTTCCAAAGTTATTTAAAAGCAAAATTAAATTAGTTGTTTGAAGAATATGTCAAGCGAAAGTGATTCCAAGGCAATAAATAAATGTTTTACTGATTATGCAAGAAAACTACTACCAACTTTATGTTGCCATGAACCAGGCGCAACTAAAGTAAAAGTAAACTTATTGACTATACTCTATTTATTTTTCAGGTTTTATGAATTAATTTTTTAAAGAACATGTCAACACAAGAGCAATATAATTCTAACCTTTTCAATGCAATAAATAAATGATACAAGAAAAAAACGATTAGTGTGACCAAGCTTGCATTTTTTCCATGATTCCATGTTTGGCTGCATGTTTATAATAAAAAGCTAAATATAAGCTAGCTAGCTGCTGTTCAATTTATTCTACCAATCAATCAAAGCCGTTATTAATATATATCTAAATATAGAAGACGAACGATTAAGCTGTCTGGCCCACTCTCCCTTTGAATTGTCATCAATTTGCCCGGCGGCCAAATAAAGAAAACTTTCAATCAGCCGAACAAAAATTGCGAAAAGCAAAACAAGCTCATAAATTTGTCAACACTTTTGGAGAGGCGTCGAGTGGGTGGGTGGGTTGTGCTGCCACCGAAGTGGCAGGGGGAGGCTGAAAAGTATGCCACAGTTTGGTGCACATCCATATCCGTTTTATAGGCGTCAACTTTTCGGTCGAGGAATCGGAGGGAACCAACAACAGTGCGACAGTTGTGAGTTAGTGTCTGTGGCATTACTATGTCAGGCTATTTATTATATCCCGACACATACCACCGCTGGGCCACCCACTTGGGCGGCTGCAGGGCATTTGACAGGGCTAAGAATTTATTTGTCGATAAGCATCCTTGATATTTCGTTGCCGCTGCCACTGCCGCTGCCGCTCCCAAGTGGTACCGGAAAATCTCGCGGAAATCTCCCCAAGTCTCTAAATCAGAATGGCAAAAATAGTCCTTGATGGTTATTCATGGCTTGTTATAGCTTCTACTTCAGATTGATATACGTTGATGTGTGTTTCGCATTTCCGTGTATTCGAAATGCGTGAATGTCTAAATAAAAAGTGGGCTCACAACAAAAAACATCAAGCTGAGCGGAAAGTGTATAGGATTTTATCTCAGCTACGAGCGAAGCGTTTATCATGTGTTTATTAAATTTTAATGATTCATCAAAGTGGAATTTTTTTATATTTTAATAGTTTAAGAACTGTTTTCACTCTTTAATATTTCCAACTGATTTCTGCCTAATATATTGCTGCACTTTCTCTAAACTTTCTGTTACTTGGCAAGTATTTATAGAGTTTTTGCACCGTGAAAAAATTTGAAGAAAGGTTCAAAATCCTAAAAAAAATTGAAAACCTAATCCTCTAAAACAGCAAAAATATATGAATCCAAGCTTTCCTATTTGACCAAAAACCTCAACTTTCAAAACCCGAATAAAAAAGGAAAATAAATTATACTTAAGTCAAAGTTTAAAAGTAAGTAATTTAATAATATTTCTCCTTCTTTCAGAAGTAAACACAAACTCTTCGGGACGCTTTTGTCAAAGAAACATGGGTTGTTTTCTGATATTATTTGTACAAATTAATGTTGATGCAAAAAAACATGTTGAAGGTTCAATATCTTGGGACTCATTTTTTGTACGATTTTTTTGTTTTTGTTTTTTAGGCGTATTTTTTTTTTGGTCCCCTTATTTTTTTTTTGGGTCAGCTACACAAATCAAAACGCAAAGCGCCGCAGCGGAGGGCCGCGTTGCGGCGCGTCTGACTTTTATCATATTTCACTGGGGCATTCGACGACCGCCAAAAAATAAAGCCCGAAAAATAGCGGACAGGCAAAAAAATTGGGGAGGCGAAATTGAAACAACATGCAAGGACCTCGGCTAAGGATACTTTTTGCCATTACCCGCAAAACGGGCCGGAGCAATAAAATGCCCAAAACTTTAAATGCAAAAATGGGTTTTTGGTTGCGCTCCGTTCAGCTTTCGCCGTCTACATGCATACATCTATGGTGCTGTGTGTATTCATTTACACACACACATGTATACACGTACATGTATACATACATATATGTATTAAATATCTCCGCTTTTTTTACGGCGCAAAGTGGCGCGTGAATTGTTTTTGCACAGTTGGGCGAATATAACGCATTCGCATTCACACGCACGCCGTCCCACAAACAAAGGACAAAACGCGCATACGCCCAGTAGGACAAACAAAACTCTCCGTGTGCCCACACACACACACACACACAAACACATAGACACAGATACCGCCCACTTGGGCCGACTTCTCACATCCGTATTGGCATCCTGGCGAAGGAAAAACCAGCGAATTTTGTCACCCATTCAGGTTTGCAAAACGTCAACTGCCAAAAGGTGTAAGCTGATATTAAAGCCAAGCTTTGTAAAAAAATACTTAGGATAAAAAAGTTTAGAACAAACAACAGCACGGCTATGCCTGAATTAGGATGCAAATAACAACAGTCGAATGCATGGCAAAATTCACTTTATGAAACCAATATTCCACTGATTCAAATCATTAGCAAAACGGGAATATGAAATCAAACCTCACAATTTTACTATTCAAACTTAATCTGTGATGGGTTTAAAGCTTAAGAACTGTAAAATATCACATATATGTGAAATTTTCTAAAAGTATATACAGAAATATCAGATCTCCTATCTTTAAAAAGAAATACATATTTTAATCCATAAGCGCTGCTAAAATCCAATTTTCACGTGAGTAATAAAATAATAGCAATCAAATAAAGCTTAAATGTACGTTTAAATCAATCGAATTGTCCAGAATAAGTGGAGGAATTTATTTATTTTATGTGAAAAAAGAATATCGATCGCCTTAGGCATTATTTACATTGCACGGTATAGACATGCTTAAAGTGAGAAATAAATTGGGAAAATTTAATTAAATGAAAAACAAAATAGAAATCTGTCAAAATCAGTTGCATTAATCTGTCAGTCAATAAGAAATTATTTAATATTACAAAGGACAAAAAAATTCCGTATCCCCTGAAGACGATTTTACCAAATTAAATAATAACGATTACTATGCACACAATAAAGTGTGGTTGTAAATAAATATAATTTGTGAAAATTGTGAATTAGGAAGAGAATAATGTAAATACATACAAAACCATTGAAAAGTTTTCATTTGTAAACAAAACAAGCGTTTTATGCCCAACAAAAGTAAAACTTATTTTTGTTCTATTTTTATTTTTATTTTAAAACGATTAAGGTCGTAGCTTTTAGAACAATTTTCTTTTTTTCTTGATAATTGCATTTTTTCTAGAGTTTATTTTATTACTGACCTCCAACAAAAACTTGTTTTTTACGCTGATTAAGCTAACAAGGGCAATTGTTTGTGGTCGCTTTATTTATGGTTTACAAGCTAAAATTAAACATCCCCTCAATTTAAGTAATTGTGAATTAATTATTTAAATATTTGCGGATGTTTTGCGGTATTAATTAATAAGCATATTCAACACTTACCGCTAAAATCCCGACGATCAGCAGAGCGTTTGTTAAACATGCGCCATTTATTTTTTACTTAGCGAGTACCTAAATTTCCACATTAATATCGTTGAGTTCCGACTATGCACTTCAGATTACGAGTATATTCTGCAAAAGATTAAGCGGAAAATGTTCATCATTTATTTGTGCGGCGAGAATTAAGGCAGATCATATAAATAAATAAATAGAGAGTCGTGGAAAGCTGCCAAATGACTCCTCTAGGCTGGAAAAAAATTTTCACATTTTTTCCGCCGCCGCTTTTTGCTTACGGCTCGTTTGGGGGGTTATTTTGTAGATTGCGCGTTGAATTTTTAATTGCCCTCGCAACGAAAAATGTTCAAAATTACAACTAAACTTTAAATTAAACTTGAAACTGCACACACACTGGTGCACATACGGGTGCCCCGGGGGTTGCTTATGTGGCAAGGGGCAAGGGGCATGGGGCAAGAGGTACGGGGTGTTTTTTGTGCCTGGGTATTTTGGCCCAAAAGTGCCTCACTTTATAACGAGCTCAGTTATTTCAATTATTAATTAATATCTCGCAGTGGAAAGCTGCGCAGACAAGCAGACACATATAGTGGAGACAGCTGTGGTCAAAATAATGGGTCGAAATATGCAAAAAACCATGTTAAGCTTCAATAAAAAGTTTATAAATTATATATTGAAAATGAAAGTGTCTTTTTAGATATTGATATTTTTAATTTAAATTGAATATAATAAAAAACCAGCAATATATTTATTTGACAAAAGTTAAATTTTTTCAAGAAAATAACACTCTTTAAAACTAAACTTTTTTCAAGTCTTCCGCATTAGATTTATCATTATAAAAGTATATAAAAGTCATCTTTAAATACCTTAATGAAAACTTTAGTAATTTTAACAAAGGCACGAAAATTGTTCTGAATATAATATAAAATCAATAATTTTTGGCTTTTGAATGTTAATCTTGGTTCTATTATTCGGAGCACAACAATATATACCATACATCTTGCCCTTCTCCTCGAATCGCTACTGCTGGCATACAGTTACCGTGGAAAGTTTGCCACCATTGGTAAGTGAAAGTTGAACGTAAGTAAAATAGTTTTCGGAGCAATTGAAAAACGCTCAACGGAAAGGAAAAACTTTCTGCAGCTCAGTTCATTTTTCCCACTTTCCCACTGTTGTCCTCTGCGGCAATAACAACAAAAATTAGGGCAAATAGAGCAACAAACACGTACAACTTGCACAATTTTCGAATGGGAATTTCAAATATTATTTTATTTTATTTTCCCCACATATTTCTCTGTGCAGGCAAACGAATTCAATTAAGAACATTTGCGATCAAGAGGATGACGAAAACTTTTGGCGACACAAGTTTCCAAGAAATTCAACAGTCAGCCTAAAAAGTACATTAGCGGAAATCAAATTGGGTGGTTAAAAATTATTCACTTTACAAAAAAAGAATTAAAAAATCATATGTTGGCATACTTTTGTTTGTTAAAAATGTATCACTTCAAGCAGTCGTTGTAGAAATAGTAACTTAACAATTGTTAAATGCAAAACCAAAACAGTAAATATTATTTTAAACCTTAAAAATGTTTATAAATATAATGTTGATTTGCAAATCGTATTGCTTTCATTGGGCAATAAAAATATTTATGTACTATTTGTTTTCGATAATATTCAGATATTTAAAATACAAAAGGCTTAATTCAAAGCACTTTATTACATACAAATTCCAAAGCACTTTGTAAAACTGGCAAAGGTGTTGCCTGAAATCAAAACTCACAAGCATGATAATAAATGAATAAAGTAAATTATTCAAAAAGCCTAACATTTTGCTAAAGGGAATTCAATGAAAGCATTTACAAAAGAAAGCATGAATAATATTACACTCAAAGGAGTAAATATAAAAAAGACTGTGAAGTGATAATAAAAGCACGTTCTTTGTGCTTCAGATTTAATATGAAATTTCTGCTTCCGTAAAACATATTTCCTAGCATTCAATTTCAACTTTTAGTGTTTAAGAACTTAAAGCTCACAAACTGACAGGCACTGTGCTCAACCTTGACGTCTCTTACGAACTATGCCAGTGTTTATAGCCAACTGTAATTCCCCAAGTGCTCAGAAAATTCACATTATGTTAAAGCTGATTATCGCTGGCAACAAAAACAAAGGCCGGGAATATTACGTACGGCTAAAAAGTGAAAGTGAAAAATGACTTGGATATTGCACCTTTAATACACTCGGCAGACAAGGCAGGGAAAATAAAATAAAAAGCAGACATGTTTGCCGCTGCAGGCAAACACAAATTCTTTGGCAATTTATTATTAGAAAGAAGCAGACGCCACGAGGCCGAGAGAAAGAGAGGCCAGAGCCGTCGCCCAGAAAGAGACAGGGAAACGCTGAGAAGAAACGAAAAAACGCGACTGCAGCGGTCGCAGGGCCCTGACAGCTGTTTATGTAGTTGTCGCAACTACAGCGCCAACAGCAACAGCAACAGCAACACCCGTACACCAGCAATTTTCAGGAGCAGCAGCAACGACAACAGCAGCAACAATCTACCAGCAACATCTCGTTGCTCTCGCAGGCTAAACACGCGTTGAACTTGGCGAATCTAGAGAATCGACTGCTTTCATACCTCTTGAAATAACAACTCAAATGAGAAAAAGTTGCACACAAAAAAAAATAAAGTCTAAAGTAAATAATACAATAAGCTACATTTTATTCAATTCACTTGTTTTTATTGTATATTTCTAAAGCCAGATTATTTAAAATCTTTTAGCGACTTTATGTTTTCAATATAGAGATTTCAATTTTAAATTTGTAATATTTTTATAAAAAACGAATAGAGCAGTGATCACTAAAAGTTTTACTATTACAATAACTTTGTGTTGTAAATATAGCTTTTTAAATTTGAATAATTTCTAATCAAAAAACAAGCAATAGAACGATCATAATTAATGCCCTCATTATTATCAACAAAATTTAAATGTACCAGCCAAGAAGCCAACATCTGCGCACCAGACACCTTAATTATCTTTATGTTGCAATTAAAGGCAAAACAAGAACATTGCCTGCTACCGCGCAGTCTATAAGGAGTAAATATTTGCCATGCTGATTATTATTTAAGAGCAACAACGCGATGTGCGTCGGCGATTGGGTTGACTGGTGGACTGGTGAGCTGGTGAGCTGGTGAATTGGTGGACTTGGCGATTGGTGGAATGGGAAGAGCTTGTCACACACGCGCCACTAGATGCCCAGATTCTTCTGCGTGGGGCCTCTGAGACTCAGAGTCTCATCGCCGCAGTCTCCTCGTTGCCTAGTCAATATTTTATTTGGCACTTGAACCAAATTCTTTTAGTTTGCTGCGAAGGTTGACGTCAACGTCAACGTAGACGTCAACGTCGACAGCGCTGCGACAGCGCAGTCCACCTTTAGTAATGGATTTTGTTCGACATCGATTGCCGTCTGCTTTTGTTGTTCAGCTAATTTAACCCATAGGAAACATAGGAGAATACAACTGATAGCAAAAATAAAACACAAAAGATTAGGCACAATTTCAACTATTTTTCGCACACAGTGCAGTGCAGTCTGGCGAATTCACAGTCTAATTTTTGGGCAAACAAAGCTGGCAAATAATTGACACTTTTCATAGTGAAAAACAAGCGCATTTTTATGCCAGCCATGATATGAAATCATGGAGCGCAAATATTTAGCAATTTGCGAGCAATATGCCCAGCGGGACAAATGTCGCATTTTAGCAAGCATTTACCTTGGGGAACTCGCTGCTAAAATAACGATTGCCTCGCCAGACTATCAAAAATATTCGCAATTAAAACAACATTCGTTTGTTATGAACATTTGCTCTCTGAATTTTTGTAACCTGTGTTTATGTTTACATAGATTATACAAATATCGATAAAATGCTTAGGATCTTAATATTCATATCGACAGAATTGAATAAGTGAGCCAAAAAGAAATCCAGTTTATTACTCAAAACATTTACAGTTTGAATGCTTTGCCTTCCTCGGCATTTTGAACTTTAAATCCTTTGCCTGCTTCAGGATAATTACTGCAAACCAACTTTGAGAATAATTTTGTGCTAATTGCCATCTCCGTTGCAAACCATTGTTTTTCATTTCCTGTAACATTCACTCAAGACTGCCTCGCATAACCGCAATCAGGTCATATAGCCGACAGCTCCCATGACAATGTGCAGATACACACGGCATACCTATATATATAAATGAGATTTTTCACTTTACATCGCTGGCTTTGTTGTGGCCCAAATTTTCTGCACTGGCCGCATAAAAAAAATTAAATAAATAAAATAAAAAAGGAACAACACAAAAGATAAGAAAAATCCAACCGAAACCGCAGTAAAGTGGTTAAGATATTTATAAAAGATCTATTCTTTACAGGACAGCAGTTTAAATTCATCATTATAAGTAAAAATAAAAATATGATCAAATAAATTACTGCCAACAAGGAGAAGCCAAGTAAAAGCAGTACTTTATCTGGCCTTCTCTCTCGTTTTTCTGGAATGGCCATGTTGGTTTTCCATTTTCATGGCGTTTTGCATTTTGCTCCTTTCCCGCTTTGCTTTTTATTTTATTATTTTTGGTCAGTTTTCCCTATTTTTTTTCTCCTCTACTGTAATGAAAGCGATTACAAGCCGACAGCAAAGCAGACGATAATCAGTGGGCGAGAAGGCTGGGGAAAAGCCATTTCCTTTGCTTTTCCACTTCCCCACAACCGTTTGTAAAGTTGCCGGGCAAAATTTATGACATTTATTGAAATCGTTTTTCTTTTGGCTTTTCCTCAGCCCGAAAGACCCATTTCCATTCCCATTCCATTCCCGAATTTTCTGCTCTTTTTCCGTTCTGATTAGTTGTATGCCATTGCGTTTTCCACCCACCAAAATCCAACAGCAATTAGTTTCACATTCCACGGGAAATCGCCAGGAAAATTCAGCACAATGCAAAGAAGCTTTCGCACCACTTTTATTTGACCAAAAATAATAGGAAAAAAAATGAATATAATACAGAAAAAGACAAATAAATAAGAAGAAATCCCAGCAAATGAGAGGACCTGTTGCTCTGGACACAAAAGAAATGGTTGGTCAATGGAGGCGGAAGGCAGTTAAGCTAACCGAAAGCAGGAAAATCGTAAAAGGAAGTTTGGGTTTAACAACAAAAACTTGTGGCTTAATTTTATTGAAATAAATGGAACCAAAAATTGAAAAAAATTTAATCTCAGCAAATCCGGAGAGAGATAAAACTAAATGGCACAATGAAAGGGCAGAATAATGGAAAGGAAATTAAATCGCGGCTAAGAAAGTAAAGAGATTTACTTAAGTAAATTGCCGAGTTAAACACCAAAAAATATTTAATAAAGTATTGCTATTCTTTAATTTAAATATAAAATGTTAGTTGTATAACTTCACTGAAATATAGTAACTAGTTCATGTAATAAGTTCAATTTATTTTTTATATTTTATCTAAGCACTTTAAATAAAAGTTAAGCTTTTACTCCATTCATCAGTGGCATATTTCGATATTATATTGACTACCAGCACCTTTTAGACTTTTTATACCCAAACAACAAAATAACCACAAACATTGTGTTTGTCTCGCCCAAATTTGTGAGGGCAACATGCCTAAAAAATTAAAAACAAAAACGAGAGCAGCCAAAATATATGGAAAAAGATAAATAAAACTACCAAATCGACGAGGGCGCTGAAAGTGCGTGTATTGCAATAGCCTTGAGCCACATATGTGGGAATGGGATATAGAGAACGCCAGACGAGATGAACATAATGCAAAACTTTGCCAGCCACTAATAGAAAGAGACGGATGCGCGGCGTTCGAAAGAGATAGAGCCATTGGGACTCAGTGAATTCATTGAGACAGCGACAACATAAGAAAAATCGCTGGGAAATCAAAAAAGTGACAATTGTACCTAGAAAGATACCCATTAAATTTGTGTAGATCAATACATAATAAATTAGTTTAAAATTTAAAATGTGAGGATATACTATTACTAAGTAAGGTTAATAAGGTTATTTTAATTGTAATTATTAGTAAGGTTATTTTAATTGTGAAGAAAAGTTTACCTAAGTATGTACGGAAAACTGATTTTTAAAAAGAATAATAAAAATAAATATAATAATAAAATGAAGTACAGATAAGAAATTTTGAAATATCAAGCAAATATTAAATGTATACCAAAATGAAAAGCTTGTAAAATAAATAGAAATTTAAGCGGCTTTTTTCTTTCCAAGTCTAACCTATATTTAAAAAACGATGCGGTCTCACATCTTAAACATTTCCGATATAAAACATTGATAAATACCGCCCCATAAAGAAGTGGAAAGCCTAAGTTCATCATTCCCCAACCCACGAAATGCGTGGCCAGGGTGTTTAAAGAGAGACCGAAAGAAAACCTTCGTCAAAGTTGCCGCTATAAAAGCTGTTGTAGTTGTAGCTCGGAAAATCTTTTTCAATAACAGTGGCAACAACAACAAAATGCCCATTACGCATATGTAATAATTTTCATTTTCATTTTTCCGAATTTTTTTCCTCCTCTTTTCTTGAGATCACAGCTGTGCCGGACAAGGAAAATCGGGGGAAAACGGAAGGGAAATGGGTAAGAGAAGGGGACAACTTGATGGCAGCCGTTTAATTTTTGCTTTTGTTTTTGTTGCTTTCTTTTATTAATGAATTTCTCTCATTTTTTCTCAATTCTCTATAGCTTCTGCGTTCGTGTCGTCCATTTTTATACGCTTTTCCCTCTTTTTTCGTTTTGCTCTTGTTTTTTACTATTTGGGCTACGTCTAAAAATATGTCCACCAATTCGCTAAGTGGCCCCAAACTTATCTATACGGGATACACAGAAAATCTGGTTAAATTTCCAAACGAATTGGATAGAAAACTTTAAATTAAACATTTATTGCAAATACACCAACAAGCTTTGTCCATGTGACCAATAAATAATCCAAAAATAAAATACAACAGTGCTTAAAAATGCGTTTAAACATTATGACATAAGATATTGAATGTGAAACAAATTAGCTATAAATATTTACTTACTGATGTTCAATAAATTTTCATAAGAAAGGAACAAGCGGCAACAAATTAATTTAAAAGTGTTTTAATACACGTTCATAACAAAGAAAAAGCAAACAAAAATACAACTTAAATACTTGTTTTATTCTCAAGGAAATAAATCAACATAAAGTACAGAGTTCATTGCAATCAATACAATTTTCAATTTCAAAAACCATTTTGATATATATTATCAAACTATTGAACCACACAAAGGGTAACTTCCGTAAGTCATAATAATAATAATGTTTTTGTCTTTGCCTATCGCCTCCCTTTTCGACTTTCTGCTGAACAGAAAAACTTTTTGCACCAACAGATTAAAACTGAATTTAATCTTGCCTTTGGCTCATTAAAGCCCAATTTATGTAAATTTATTTTAGCTGACAAAAGCATTAGCTCGATTGGCTAAAGATTACATATTTGTTTTATTGTGTAATTTTCTTTATTTTGTTATCCTTTGCCTATAGATTTTGTCACTAACGCACAAATTAATTGGTCAATGTTAGTAAATGCATTTGTTGTTTCAAGGAAAACAAGAAAGAACGATTTGTTTACATTGTAAAGCTGCAACCTAAATATTTGTACGTGCTCATGTTAAGAATATATATGTATATATATTACTATTTATGTTTGTCTCCTTCGGTCGATGTTTTACAAAATGTTGTTTTTGTTTGTTTTTGTTGCCGCTGCGCTCTGCGAAAATTTCTCAATTTTTGGCGCGCATTTTTTCAAGCCGGCACACTTTTAAATCACTCACTCACACTTGCACTTGCACACAAAAAATCAACCAAAAAAAAGGATTTTTGAACATATTTTAAAAACAAATTTGAAACGTATAAAAATTGATTCTTGTGTTTGTCTTCAGGACCGAATCGCGAAGTTGTTGGTAGTGAAATGTTGGTAACGAAAGTGCTGCCACCGGAGGAAGCGAACCGCGCCGCGTGTCCGTACACGTGGCCAACTCGACGTAGACTGGGCGTATACGTAATGCCGGAATCTCTGGCTCTGCTGCATCGAGTCTGCCGCTCGACTGTTGCCGCTGCCTTGGCGGATGCTGCCACTGCTGCTTTCGCCTCGCCAGCGCTGACCAGTCAGCTGGTTTTCCCGCCAAATCTGGCTTTTTCTTAGAGACAGTATTTGAGTATTCATAAACACCTATTTAAATAATTTGCTTTAATGTGCTTGTGTTTGTGATGAAACCATCGTGGAATAGGCAACAAGCAAATCAGCAAATCAAATCTTGTTCCGATTTTTTAGTCGAATTTCTATAATATTTTTTTAATTATTTAATTACATTTTAAAAATCTATTTTTTATATTAAAATTTATAACACTTAAGGAAACTTATAAAAGGATTTCAGCCGAAAGCCCCAGCAGCTATGGCTGTTTCCCCTTCCCTGTAGCCTAAGTTTTAACATAGGTTTACAGTGTAAAATAAATAAATAATATAAAAGGATTTATGTTGATGTATATTTTTAAAATTATTAATAATGTGATTGTATTTTAATTATTGTTTTTTGGGTTTGTGGGTACTATATAACATTAAAGGAACTATTTTTTTTTTCACTTATATAATTGAAATTGATTAATTTTACAATTAGAATTACAATTTACTCACAATTGTGAGTTTTTTCATAGTTCGTATTAAAAAACACATTTTATTTAACTAAGGTTTTTTTTTTTTGGGCTTTGAAACACACATATGTATACACTTTCATTATCTCAAAACTGAATATCGTTAGACAAGATATATTAAAGCTGGCTCAACGGTTCAAAAATTGTACAATTTATTAACTAAAAACTAGACACTTGGATAAGATTGTCCGGCTTTTTGACTATAATAAGGTGCATTAAATTGCTTTCACTTAAAAAAAAAACAATTTATTGCTCTTTTGACTGAAATACAAGAACTTAAAATTTTTAATGATAATTGAATTTATTTGTATACAAATGGAAAAAGAAAGATGACACACGCAGTTTTTTTAAAAGTGAATTTCCCTAATAGCTTATTTTATTTAATAGAAAACTGTGTTAGTTCCCTTGCTATAAAACTAGCATACAAAAAAAAAAATGACAACAAATTATCCAACAAAGCATTTCGATTACCTCTCTTGTCCTTTTCCTGTTTTTTCAGCTTCCTTATTAAAATAAAACTAACTCTCCCTTAATTTTTTTAGCTTTATCCCGCAAAAGTGGGCATCTCTGGCGATGCTCCAGAATCGCTCAGCGGCGAGTGAGTGAAAGCACGAAGTGCGAGCCGATCGCAGCCGAAGGGGGTTCGTGGATGGCCTGATTTTCACTCGAAATGAAATTTCCCTTAATTCGAGTGGAAGAGGCGAAAAGAGCGTGAACTTTGAGTGAGTTGTAGGTTTTTTTACTCATTTCCGCTGGCACTTCCGACGTTGTCCTGGGCCAAGGAAGTTGTAGCCACGCTGACAAGGACAACAAAGTCTGTCTTCATTTTTTGTTCGGCTTTTCTTCGCATAATATTTTATTTTATTTGCTCAGCTTCTTCTTTTCGGTGAAATGTCAAACGACATTCTTGGATCACAGACTGTGGGAACTGTTTTTAAAAATGTTGAGAATGTGGTTTTCCTTATGCCCCGAGCGATTTGATGTTTCTTTTGAGACTCGCTTACTTACATCTCTACAAAAAGTCTTCAAAATTTGTACAAATTAACAACTTTTGCGGTCCCCTAAGTATTCTATTCGATTTTTTTCTAATAACTAGAGTTACATTAACTTACGTTAGATTGACGCAGACAACTTAATTCTCTCATGTAAGCTTAAAAATAGTGAACTTAAATTATCTACCATATTTTAAGGGAAACCTAAAAATCTTTGACAATGCAATCTTCGAAATCGTAAATATTTCAAATTTTAAGTAAATAGTTGCATTTAATTATAAATTTAAAAAAAAATATGTCTTTAATAATAAAAATCAAATACAGACAAAACTATTGCATTCTTAAGGTCAGAAAATACATACAAGTATTCCTTGCATTATACAATAAGTATACGCCATGTTGGCCCAAACAGGTAGGCTATAAATTCGAGAGAAAATCATTATTTCAAAATTTATAAAAGCAACACATCAAAATAAACTGTACAACATTTTGATCTGATTAAATTATCAATAATTACTTATTTCTAATTATATTTACATTTAATTATATTTAATTTTTATTTATTTTATGTAAAATATTTTCGAATGTTTTGCAAAAAAGCCGTATGTGAACTTTGAGTAAATGTTGCAATCCATGCAGTTCTATGTCATCGAAAACGACGACCCTTTCACACTTATATCCAATTAACCTTGTCCAAAGAGTATTCCTTTCGGGTCTGTCGGCTGGGTAACAAAAAAGTAGTGGCGGCGAGACACGGGGACAAAAAGCAGCAGCATGGCTGCTTTTTCGCATCAGGACCTAGGACCTAGGACAACTGAGACCCAAAGCCGCATTGTGCGAGGCCACAGGATCCGTTCTCCATTCGCCGTTCTCCAAGGGGAAACGGGTCGAGACGTTCGTTCCTTTGCTTCAAATGTTCTGTTCTATTTTACTATTTTGCCGCTTCCACAGGCCACAGGGCAGCAGCAACAACTACAGCAGAAGCAGCAGAAGCAACAACAACTACAGCAAAAGCAGCTGAAGCAAGAGCAGCAACAACTACAACTACAAATGCGACGATGCCGGCGAAAGGCGGTCAAAGGTTGCCAGAGTTACAAAGATGCGAGGAGGCGAACAAGAAAATCACCCACAGCAACACCAGAGACAAAAACAACACCATAACGAACAGCAACTACAATAACAACAACAACAATAACAACAACAATAACAAGAGTAAAATCAATCCAGGCAGCTGCTGCCTGTTGCCTCCAAAAAGGAATAATTTGGCCAAGGATTTGCCGCCCCCGCCGCCGCCCATTTTGCCACCCGACGTCTCTTGTGCGTTATTATTTGCCATTCGTTTCCAGTGTGTGTAATGCCTCCGAGGGTGATTAGCAGCAATGTTCGAGTCATAACCGTAATAACAAGGATATGCGCCAGGACCCAAAGGACGAGCGGGCCCCAAAAGAAATGAATGAAGGGAAAGTTTCCCGGTCTGGACCACAAATTTATTCGCAATCAACGCTATTAAGTGTCAATCGACCAGTGCAATTATTAATCAGCAGTCGTCTCCAAGGATCTAAGGACACTGGCGGCAAATGCCTTAATTACATAATCAACGGGCCTCGGACAAAGTTATGCAATCTCAATTGAAAGACATCATCCAAGTGTATTTGTCCAGGATGTAATTGTGTGCTTCTGATTCTGAATCTCTTCAGTCTGTTTGCCAGATTCCAAAACCGTATTTATGATGGGAATCGAGAGGGTCAATCTCTATGTCCTTCGGTTTAATATTTGCACCTAGATGTTTGTTTATTTGGGGAAACCCCTAGACTTGCACACTCCAAACTTTTGGATATTTATGGCATCGGGATATTTGAAATAAATTATGTACATATCATCCTAAGCAAATATTAAGTTCAATTAGTTCGTTTTCCATGCAAATGATAATTTGCAAACCTGATATATAGACTGTCCTCCTAATTTACACAAATATTTGTGGAATAATGTTTATTAATTTCGTATTATTTAATGACAATTACATTTACATGCACAATTTACCTTTTCCCGCTATTATTTTGATTTATTCATTATATTTCGTACAAATGTGTTGATTTGAAATTATTTGCTTAATGCAGGTGTGAAGTGTTTTCAGATGAATTTAAATATTTAATAAGCATTGATAGGTATTACATGTAACACTTTACAGCCATTTGGTAATTGTATAAGTTACTCTGTATCAATGCCGCAATCTCAATTGCTTTACGTAAGTCTTCTATAAGCATTTAAGTACTACAAAGTCGACAAACCAATGGAATCACAAGCTCCAATCCGAGCTACGCAAACAAACAAACAAAATTTGCAACGATTTAGTCTGTGAAAGTTAACGTTTTTTCAAGGGAAATCGTCTCGGGGGCTTTAAGCGAGAAACTTTCCAATTTTCATGGAGCCATACAAACTCAGAATGTATAATTAAAATTCTATTTTTGATAATTGGTAAACTCGACTCGGTCTATCTATGCAAAAGTTTGTCAAATGAAAAACGAAAGCCACAAAAACCGAAAAGGACAACCAAGTCGCATAATGCCTGCAATCCTGCTCACACACAGGCACACACACACACACAGGCACACAAGCCATTTGGAGCTCATTGAGGACAATGACTGCTTTACTGGGAGTTTGTGCAGTGAATGCCATAAGCACCTGTCGATGGCGATTCAAGCAGGGAGTCTAGAATCCAGAAAACAACTACGCTGCGAAACAAAAGCCCCAACGAATCCAAGTTAAATTGGAGTACAACATTTACACCTGCTTACAAACGTTGAAATTTGAAATAAATTGTATCTACATAAATACACACAAATCATCGGGTAAATATATAATAATATATAGTTTGTTTTATTCAAATTAAAAATAGGGCTAAAGTAACTTTGTGGCATTTAAACAACTTAAAGTAAAAATGATAAAAAAAAAAAAACATTGGGTTACCAACTTATTTTTGTCATCGCTATGGATGTTAAAGATCACTATAAATTCATTTTCTTTGTACAGAATTTATTTAGTTGCTATATAAATATTAATTAGAGCACTAGTATTTCTCTTAATCTTTTTATCTTGTAAATTTATTTAATTTATTTTTTTCAGTGCAGTAAAGAGACGGTAAACCGCGCAGCCACATGGCCAGCGGCCTATTAAAGCAACAATGCCAACTGCCGCCCTGAATTTCCCATTTTTCAGTTGACTTTTCCGCAGTCCTTCCCCTTGTCCCATCTCCCCTCTCCTAAACCCCGTTCTCTATCCTTCCCTCTGGCTGGCATATTGCAAATGAACTCGACAACTATTAAACACCTGAAAATGCTACACGGCAGCAATTGTAAAACCAGATTGTCCGACAGAAACGCGAGTTGCTGCT